TTTTTTGAGTTAAAAAGTGTTTTTCACAAAATATCTATCAGACATACAACCATGAAGCTGAAGCAACAGTGTCCAAACAGAGCGAAGCCTCCACCCCCCCGCCCTCCCGAAAAAAAAAATAAATTGGAACGTCAGTATAATGTGTGGAAAATTCCATTGCATCATTATTTAAATCTAAGAGTGGAATCAACAAAAATCCTGAGAGAAATCACGAAAGGGAAGAACAAATTAGAGAGGAAACTCAAATCCATTGAAAACTAAAACAAGGGGAAAAAATGAAGAAACTGATGACTTTGGAGATTATTATAATAAAGAAGAAAATAAATTAGAAGACAGCACATCAAACAATGAGGAAGGAGGAAGAGAAGTTAATAAGAAGAAGCAGAAAAAAAAAAAAAAAAAAAAAAAACTAATAGTAATATTTTGTTTTCTGAAATCTCTGATTGGCCTTTCCATGTTTGAGATAATCTAAGAGTTGACTTGATTTAAAATGGAAGTAAAGTATTTAAAAAACATTTTTTTTTAAAATTCATTTCATTTCATGAATGAAAATGTTCATTTGTTTCAGTTAAGAGACAAGAGGAAATTAAGGTAAAGGATATTAACTGACAACTGAGAACTGATTGTTCCATACCTGTCAGCCAAATGTCCAGAAAATTCTGAGAATCTGGATGACATAATTAAAAACCTAAAAGGTGACATTGGTTGATCTGACTCCTGCAGTCCTTCATATTTGTGGTTCTCATCATCACCATGAAATCTGGTAATTAGACAACACATTTTAAAAAATATCTAGAGACATCCTCTCATCTTGCAATACCCCATACATCAAATTTTATAATAAAATATTTCTAGAACTCTTGATTGGTTTTAAGAGAGTTAAGCCAAAAGCACAATTTGCTATCATAACTGAACTTAAATTATTTCTTCTCATCTCCGCTGTTGTGGCATCAAAAGAAAACCAGTATCAGCAACACTGCACTCCAAATAAATATGTCTTGGGGCTTCATTTATTGTTTAGGTCAGAGAGAAAAATGTTAACCCCTCAACCACAGTAGGGCTGAAAGTGTGGTTAATATTAATCAAGGATTCTCGGTTAGTTCAGGAAAAAAAATCGCTTGCTTTTTCTCCCAAATTCTCCATTCTATAACCAAAACTACCATAAACAAAAGACTCACTTGGCATTTTTAAATAGTTTTAATTAACGAAACACGATTAAGATAAAACATTACAATTAGGGCGTTATAATTACACATTTAGGTTACAAAGTAAATCTCGGGGAAACAGCATGCTTAGTTCATAACTCCCGCACATCGACTAAAGGCTAATATTTTTTTTTGGCCGGTGTTTCTTCCGGTGGCCGCTAGGTGGCGCTTATTGAGTCGTCTGTTTTTTTTTTTTTTTTTGCTAGTGATTGAAAAATTTGATATCAGACGATTCCAGCCACTGGACATTCGGATTTCGGACTGCATTTTACTTATTTAATATACTAATCATGCATACTTATAAACACAAAAAAATTAGACATATTTATTCCTTATTTTATAAGATTTTGCAAAATTGATAAAATCTTAAAACACTACAATTTTTTGACGATGAAATTTTTTACTTTGTTCAAAGGAATCATTCATCTGGAAAGTTTATAACTATCATTAAATTAAAACACTTGCTCTCCTAGGGCATTCTTCATTTCAATATTACTCCTAAAAACTATGAATGCTTAACCTCTTGCCAGGGTTTCAATGGTGATCAACCAATATTGTTCTCTCTCAAGATATTTACAGTTATTTTCCTTGATAACATGCAGGAAATTTAAAATAAGTGATATTATAATGTAGTGTAGAAACTGTTTGATTTGCACATTGCAGTACCTAGCATCATTGACACACACCCTGAAATTTATATTAGTTTCAAAACTTTCATCACACTGATTACGAATTTGACAAAAATGGATAAATATTTCATCCTTAAGTTTCTCTTTCTGGAGACTGATTCTCATCTTAACTCATTTCAGAAGGGCTTACATTCTCCCTCCTAAATACATATTTTCTATATCCAAAATCCAAACAGTGTGGTTGGTGTTATATTTTTAGTCCGTGTTATTTGCAACATAAATCATGAAATACCAAATAGTAGCAAATTTAAGTTTACTACTATTGGTAAGGTGTCTATTACAAAGTATGCAGTAAATATATCTTTTTGAATATCATTTTTTATTGCAATAGTCTCAAACTCAAAGGTTATGCAAGCTGATTTTTTTTATTATTTATTCTTTTTTTAAACAAAGTGAAAAAGTTTTTTCCTCCCCTAACATTTTTTTTTTACAAAATTTTATTTACCAAATATTTATCAAACATATATAAACAGTAAATATAACGACAGGAAAAATTTTCAATTTCCAGTAGCTGCTGCTTATTAAATTCATTGGTTAACAAACTCAGCCGCTTATTATATTCAGATTTCCAGGAACCAAAATAAATACATACTAATCGATACAAAACACATTGTTTACTAAATTATCTTCACTTATAAAACTCAGACTGTAAACGACTGATTCTTCAGTGCAGAATATCCTACTTAATACCTACCATAACCTTCCCTAGTTCATTCATAGTGTCTATTTTGTGGTCCATCCACCATTAGTCTCTCTTCTTGCAAATACAACTTTTAATATTCAGAATTTACATAAGACATTTCAACTGTCATTACAAGAAACATGTTAGAAAATGATCAACAAAATAGAATTTTGTGAAGATACAAACTCTTTGAAGTTGAGATCTCTGCTACAGGCCAGGTATGCAGACATAGTCACGGCAGGGCGTTAATCTCTTAAAAAGAGTTAAAAACTGTTTTTGAAAATGTGACTTTTATGTAGAAAACTCAGAGAAATAGCAAATTATAGTTAATATTTTATACATCAGTTGAGGTAAGTTATGAAGATTCATTTTTAGAATTTGCATCAATTCACAGCAATACAGAGAAAATGACTGTAAAAACCAGGGCTGTGGAGTTGGAGTCAGAATCGGGTAGATTTTTGGGTAAAAGGAGTCAGAGTCACTAAAAAAACACGTCGACTCCGACTCCAGTTTTTGTTGAACAGTTTAAATTTGAAATGAAATTAAAGTGAATTGGGGAAAAAAAAAAAAAAAAAAATCATGACAAACTGAGTTAATATTTTTATTTATGAACTATATACATTAATAAATAGTTATTTTCTATTTTATTGACTTATTAATAAATAAATATAAGGGAGGAGAATGGATGTGATATTTGCCATTATTGAACAAACTGCTTCATTTAGTTACAATTTAGGTAAGCAGCAATATTAGCAAGAACTCCCAAAATTCATGCCATTCTTAGGAAGCGAGCAGGAAAAGGAGCAATGCAATGGAGAAGTAATCTAGTGGAATGATCTTGCAGAACTGGAAACCCTTCTTTCAATGCCGTATATGGCCACAAAAAAGCTACAATCTGAAGAATTAACAGGAGAGGAGAATGTTAGAAGATGTAGATAACCTTAATGTTTCTCTAACAGAAAGACTGTGGGATGATCTTGCAGAATTAGAAACTCTTCTTTCTATACTGTATATAGCCACCAAAAAGCTACAATTGGAAGGAGTTGGAGTCGGTCATTTTCCCTAGCGAATCCACAGCCCTGGTAAAAGCTGACTATGAAAGTGTTAGAAGAAAAACTGATAACAAAACTCGTACAGAAAAAAAAAAAAAAAAAAAAAAAAAAAAAACAAAATCCGAAATGTTTCAGATTTTAAATTACGTCCAAAGGGGCGTTTTTTAACATTTTGTGTGTTACCTTTCTTTATTAAATATCATGTTCCTCGCACTTAAACCATAAGATCCAGTGCAACAGCAATATCGCAAAATAGTTTTAAAACGAGCATATCTTTAAAATTTCCGATACAGAGACTCACGCGCTGGAGATAAAAAATGTTTTTTCTGCACAAACGTTGCCATTGCTCGCTTTGAAATCCTTGAGTTTTGTTAATCAAAAATTCGTCAAAGTTTTAAAAAATAGGAAATCGATCATAAAACAAATTTCAAATTTCAAATTTGGTCTTCCACATGCTCATATTCGTTGGAGGATTACGTTATTCAAAATTCGATGACTCTATGTACCGTTATTTTATGACAATGTGAGAAATATACATACATTTACGCAGATTTTCATTATTTAATTTCTTCAAATATAATGCAGGACTCTAACATTTTATGGCAACAGCTTGAAAAGTGAACCGACATTTATCCGTCCAACGCAAAATGCCAAAACGAAAGTAATAGTCCTTCGGGACTCAAGTCCCTTTGGACTAAAAAAAAAAATTATGACATGTTAACATTAATTGAATCTAGAAAAACACGACAAATTCTAAGAATTACTCTTGAACTGGGAAGTACTGATCAAAAAACCTACCAGCAGTTTTATGAAACTGCAAGTGCAATTGAAGACATGCTGATGAACAATATGAAACAAAGTGAGATAAAAAAGTTGTTTGCAAGAGATGAAATTTCTTCAGAAATATATTTATAATAATATGCAAAACAAAATTAAGAAATGAATTTAAAAATTTTGTAACTAATTTAATTTTAGCAATAAATTTTAATTATTATTTTAGGATTAATTACTCAATTAGTTGCTAGCTATTATTTTACTCGAAAAGTTTCAATCTTATATCATGATTTGCAATATACATATCACATTTTAGTCAGTCGCTTAATAAAATTAAATATGCGTGGAACGAAAGTGATTTTAATAAGCAACGGGTACAATGTTTTCTGTCTGAAATCTAAAGGTTTGCATATGCAACCAATTTCTGTTAGAGTCACTTTGTAGTTCAAATGTACTGATGACTAAATATTAAATATTCAGACTGAAATGTATTTTAAATAGTTCTAATATGTTGAATTAATCATTAAATAGCTTATTTTAACTTAACAAACTGCAAAAACTCTTTAAGCAGAACAAAACTTAAGAATAAATAATGGCAACCTATTCTCTTTCTTTTATTAATTTTTTCTTTTATACATACAGGAAAAATATATAAATTTGTTTGCAAATATTTATAAAACTCTAGATTTCTTGTTAAAACAGCTCAAGCCATTTCGATTTTGCAGTTGGTAACTTCAGGAAAAAACTGCTAGAAACTATTTTTTTTTTTAAATCACACATTGTATATGCTCATCTGTCAGTCTAATTATACTTTTTTTAGACTTATAAATTAATTACCTGTGTTTGCAGATTTTCTGGGATGTTACATTCATTTTTAATGGCAATGAAAATGTAAAATAGGATTCATAATTGTTAATATCAAACTTTTTCAAATTCTTTCTATAAAATTAATGTCACAATAATGTTAATTAATTTACAGGTAACGTATACACAGGCCACATAAAATTTCCTCTGGGAAATGCATGTGGCTCATGGACTGCCAGTTTCTAAGCATAGTTTTAGCACATTGTACATGGTGAAGTATCAATTCATATAGCTATCTCTCATGTTCTTCTTAATGCAGCTACTGAGAAGGAATGAAGCACTAGATCTGAAGATATATATATTAAAATGCTAAAAATTGAGAGGACATAATATGACAGTAATAACAGAAGTGCCCAGACCTCAGTAACTCGATAAAAATCTCTCTGATTGATCTGCTTTGCTTCAGTATTTTTAATAAATGCAATATTTATCTGCATTTTTACATCAGATGGAATAAAACTTATATTATAAAATGAAATTTTATTAACAATTTTATCTTTTGAATAACATCCTTTTCCAAAGGCAATGAATGGAGAACCAACAGATATGAAATAGTCACTTACATTATGTCCCTGATATATGCTTTCTGTTAAATCACATACTATTTAATATAGAGAATTTTAAACATCACATATTCATGGGAAATCCTTTGTTCATCAATTTAGCTGTAAACAATGTGAACTGAAGCAAACTCATTAATTCCACAGCCATATTACAAAGACAAAATCAGCTTTGCCAACATTTGTTTTCTGGCTTATCTTCCCACTTGTAAACGGGATACAGATCTTTTCTTTAGATGGTAATGGACATCATATGATCTGTTAAAAAATAAACAAATAAATAAAAAGAGAGATTTATGAGTAACTGTTAAAGAGTCACGAATTTTTAATAAATAAAAACTATAATAAACTAAAATATAAGTTAATATAATAACATAAATAATTAAATATTAGTGAACTCTCTGTCAGACTAATCAGCTCCATTCACACATTAGTTTTAAAATCATAAGAGATCTAAGCTGAACTTCATTGCTAGGCAACTAGAGTTCTGCATCACAAAAACTGGTTGAAGGATTTTGCCTGAAAGTTTTTAACCTTTAACTTTTTAACTTTATGCCAACTTGGTGTAAAAACTAAACAATCACAGTGATGCAAACAATGGTTGATGGTATGGCTGAGTCAGCTACACATTTAAGGATGGGTGAGTTTTTTCTGGAGATCAGTTTTTTCAATAGCAATTATCACTTTGTAAGACGCTAATGCTTACAGGATTAAATTTAACATGCACAAGATTAACAATCCTCAAAAGCATCAATATTTATTTATAGAAAATACAGTGGCAGATTGTGGTGTCATTTTGATTTGCTGCCGCCACTGTCATCTGTCAGTAAAGTTGAGATGTATGGTGTTATAAATGCCTCAGTATACTTAAACATGGTAAAATGACAGAGGTCAAACTGATATCATCTGGGTAGAAATGTTACCAATGTAAGCACTTTTGCTTTGAGTGATGTCATTAGCAGGGGAACTGATAGGCATAACAAACCTACCTCGTGGTACAGCATGCTTGTAGTTATAGTGTGATATTTTGTATAGTGCATGTTTATTTGCGAAGGACTGACAAGTATTTTATTTGCTGATTACTAATAATATACTAAAGAATGGTTTACACTTGTTGTGTACCTAACTGCATAGATAATTATTCAAATATTTAAAAAGGTGGACTTGTTTTTATCTCCGAAATCGAATTTTATGCACAAGAAATGGTCACATACCATTCACCTGCAGAATTTCAGTCCATGAAAACATTCAGAGGTATGTATGATCCTTTTAACAGAAATGTCAGTTTTTTATACTTAATAAATTTGTATTTGAAAAAGATACCATAATTGATACTCTAATTCTTGTATTTTAAAAATAATGTATCTCTTAATCATCCAAAAAGCAAGCCTTATTTCATATTTGATATTATTAAACTTTTATATTTTGAAATTAATAAAATGTGAAATTAATTATGTGCTAAAAATAACATTGCAGTTAATCAATGCAAAAGCATTTAATCAAATCTGTAATGAAATATGTTGACATTATTTTAGTTAATAATATATAAGAAGGAATTCCTAAAGTTTTTCCAAATATTCATAAGCCCTTTTCAGAATATCAAGATAATAGGTATATATCCTGAAATACACCCACATAATATTTTTCAGTTTCGTAAATTTATTCCTGAACGGAAATCTAAGGCCTTACATGAAAACTGAATTTTCCTTTTATACAATCCATTTGTAATATTTCCTTGCAAATCTATCATAATAGTCAATATTAAATTTGTTTTCTTTCTTAATTTGGGAAACATATTTTCTTGAACCAGACTTTCAGAGAGTAATTAAGCATTCTGATGGAAAAAAAAAAAAAAATAAATAAATAATAAAATTAATTTGGTGTCTCCAAGGCTGTGAAAGGATGCCTGACCTTCACAAGTGCCCAACTATACAAAATATTTATCAAGTTAATCTTCAGCTTCTACAGAAGGAGCTGATGACAACACAGACAGAAATGATAGAAACAATTTATAGTCTGCATTTGCAGCAAGTCTTACCAGTAAAACAAGTTATGATTAAAAACATATATATATATATAAATCTGAAAGCTTTCAGATTTTATATTACAACTAAAGGGATTTTTTTAAAATGTTTTTTAAGTATTACCTTTATTTATTAAATATCATGTTCTTTTCATTTAAACCACATAAAATTAAATTCAACAGCAATATCACAAAATATTTAAAAACAGCATATCCTTAGAATTTCTGATAGACAGTCTCACATGCTGGAGATTAAAAAAAAAATTTGGGGGGGGGGGGGGTTTCCTGTACAGTGCTGCCATTGCTCACTTTGAAATCATTCAGTTTGTGAATCAAAAATTCGTTAAAGTTTTACAAAATAAGAAATAGATTATAAAATTCAAAATTCAGGCTTCTAGGTGCCCATGTTCTGGTGGAAGATTACGTTATTCAAAATCTGATGGTTCTACGTACCATCATTTTTTCACAATGCGAGAAACATACATACATTCATGCAGATTCTTCATTATTTAATTTCTTTAATGTTTTTACATATTTTCAGTTTTTACTGTGCATAAACCCTGACAAAGTTCTTAACATCTGGGCAATTATTTTAAAAGAAGATTAAGTTCTTTATTATTATTATTGTTGATACTCACCCTTTACTAATTATCGAAGCTTCTGTAGTGTTTTAACATAAAATCTATAGTGTAGTGTTCTTATTGCAACTCAGAATTAAAAATCATATATAAGCAATTGTCTTATGATGAAAAATGTTTTTTATGAAGATTTAGATCCTTTGTTAAATATTTCAAAGCCCCCAAAGAAAAATTTGTTTTTCAATGTTATAAAATCAGTTATTTCTGTATTCAAAACTGTTAATAATGATGACAGTGATAAGGAGAAAATTAAGCATTCATTACAGAAGGACTTTCAAATAATACTTGCAAAAAAGAAGGTACTCGTTGTTCATCACCTATATTTTCTTCGCTATTTTAAATTGTTTGTCTCTATGCATATAAGTGTTTTAGAAGAGTAAGCAATACAGACTGTGGACAGTTCTGAAACACCTGAAAATTTTAAAGGTAATTCTTCAGTATTCTTCTTAGTGTATGACTCGGTATTATTCTAGATTGCCCTAATTATATGATGATGTTCATAACTGCATAAATTACATTACATTTATTAAGTCTAGTAACTATTTATTATGCTGAAAAACTGAAATGTTTTGAACAAATAATATTTGAATGGAAACAAATGTTTAAGTATGAAGTTTTTCAATAAACTTTTTTATGAATCATGTAATATTTGCTATGCTTTAGGTTTGTTTATCAAGTACATGTATTGCAACAAAATGTGAATTATTTAAAAGTGAATTTATAGTAATTCATCAGAAAAACTTCAGTACATGTCTTAAATTTGATAATATTATAAGGAATGCACTCAATTAAGATGACTATTTGTATCAATATTAGGAGGAAGAGGATCTTTAATAAGCAAAACAATCTCATTTCTAACTTATACTGCATTAACTAGATGTGAGCATGGTATTTTCTTTACCTGTTACTTGTCATGCCAAGGTTCAGGTGGTGACAGTAGAAACCACACATCATATCACGAAGGTAAAGCAATGCTTGCGCACTTGCTGCCAATATTTGGATATGTTTTCTGGTATGAATACTAACTGGTCACAAGACCACCACTTAGCAGTTATCTTCTCTCACAGTTTCTTGGTCATAACTTTATGGCTACTAAAAGATCACCAATCATATTTCTTTTGCTTTTAAAATGGCATTTTGGTTTACCTTTGTCAGTATACTTCTAGCTACAGCTTTTGGCTTTTTGAGTGGCAAGTTTTGCAAGTGGTGCCACCAGTGATATTCTGGTTAACTCTTGTCTGTTTATCTCTAGCTAGTTTCTGGCTTTATCAGCAGCGAGTTCTGCATGATATATTTTTCTATAATTATTCATTTAGTGCTTAGCTGCTAAGTGAAAAAAGAGTAACAAATGTATCAAGACATATGAAGAAAAAATGCAAGAGAGACAAAGACCCTGGAGATGAGGAACCGACAAGGGTCAGCAAAATGTCACCAGACATGTTTTGTTGGGAAAAACATTTACACCAGAATAATCCCCAAGAACTCAGAAAAATTTTTTTAAATTATTTTTCAATTTAAGAAGCAGAAAACTTACCATTGTCATGACTGAGACAGCTTATCCCTTTTCCTTTTGCTTTCCAAATTCAATAATAATAGGATTTCCTCTCAATAAATATCCATTGGCATAATGCAAAGCCTTTGAAGCAATTTTTGAATCTGACAGAGAGAAAAGTGAACTTAGATAACTGCAATTTTAAAAACTAAAGCATGAAAATTGGTATATGCATAAAAATTACCACAAAAATCACAGAAATTACAAATGAAATTGAATTGAAATTTTAATTTCAAAACAAAATTAGTTATTTAAATTTAGTTACATTAGTTATTTAAATCTGAAATTAAAATTTCTTCTGAAATAGCAATTTGTTTAAAAAGTACATACGATGATAGAATTTGCCTTTAATGAGCAGCTAACATAGTTCATAGCAGCTAACCTTGGATATCTTAAAAACCAGATTTTTGCAAGAAAAACAGGAGAAACCGTGATGTTTTCTGGCTGCATGACGACACCATTTTCAAAGGAACTCCAAACTGACTTTAATTCACTTTATAATGTCTAATTCAAGTTATTTAATTATTTGTGATTCAATCAAATGCATTTGCATTTAATTGGAGATTTTAAATTTTATGTTTTTTGGCTAATTTTATTTTGAAATTTTTTTATACTTTTATACCTATAAAACCCCAAGTAGTGGAGGAAAGCTTTTAATTGTTAAAGCACTTTTATATACATTGAAAATAACTTTAAATAATTAATGCACACAGCAACTGTGTGAATAAACTTAGTAATGTATGATACACTGAAGTAAATAAAATTAAATACAAATATTAACTGATTAAACATTGCCTGAATTTTCATATAAAAATGTGCAAATGACTACAGTAGATTAAGAAAACTCAGATTAAGTCAAATTTCATAAAAAAAAATTAGTAAGATTAATAAAATGGAATAAGAAAAATTATTCTGAAAATCACTAAAGGTAGAAGAATGGTATTTCCCTAATTTACATATCAATGATTCAATAAATTTCATTTATGGCTAAAAAATGCTTTTCTCAGTAAAGATAAAAAACTAAAAACCGGGAGATTCCGTGACCTAGCAGAAGACCAGAAGATGAAATAAAAAAACCAGGAGAGTAGGCATTCTCCTATCTGAATTAATTAAATGTTTTAGAAAAAGCTTTTCCTCCATATGTTATTGCTCCCATTAGTTGTATAGGATACCTAAACAATTTTTTTTGTTTGTGAAATAATTCTGAAATTCCAACAGTTTACTTTAAATCATTTTCATACATGAAATTGCATTTCACTGCACAACCCACTGTCCTCTATCACTTGGCTTAGAGTTGATGATAACTGCATGATCCTTCATGTGAATGGAATGTTATTTTTTACTTATTTTCATTTCTACTAAAACTAGGTGATAATAATAATCAGAAAAAATTTTAGAAATCAGAAAAAAAAAAAAAAAAAAGCACTTTGCTTTCTAACCAAAAAAAGAATGTACATTATATAAAAGTTTAAAACTTGTACTTTGTTGAAACATACTTTCAGACTACAGCAAAAGAATAATAAGAATTATTTATTGATATTAACACTAAATAGCCGCATTAATTGAAAAATGAAATTTTACTGTTCAGTTACTTGAAACATTGCTCTTAAAATGGTATAAATATTTAGTTGCAGCTATAAATCCACTTTTGTTAATCACATCATAATTATAGCTGCAAACACACACTATACATGAAATACACATTTATAAGCATCTAAAATTATATTATCAAATTATATATTATTTATTCTTGCATACTTATATATTATTAAAATTACATAGGATAGATATTTGTAATATAATAGCCATAGAAAATTCATGACTGTCAGTTTGTAATTCTAAAAAATTGCATTGTTTAACAATGAATTTTTATTAATTGATAAAACCATTCAAAATTTAACAGGAATCATACAACTCAGTTATGCTAAAATATTTCTAACAGCTAGTATTCAGAAAATGCTTTTAAGATATAGTGAAACAAATCAAAGAACAAGTTAGACAAAAAATGGGATGGGCATTAAATTTATTTTTACTTAAATAATATTTGTTAAGAGGAAATAAAGGCAAAAATTAATGACATTTCTTTATTATGCAATAGTTGTAGCTATATTTTACACTTGCTGAAAAACATTGCTATTCATTGTATATTTTGATGACAACATACTATAATCTCTGATTAAATTTATTTTTCACCAACTAGGCACAAGTGAAAATCACTCTCATGCCCTTAAGTTTAAAATAATAGCTATTTGTTAACATGTCAAACTGATGACTATACAAACTGAAAGTTTAACAAAAACAAAACTCTGTTATTTGCGATAATTCAGAACATATGTGTTAATTCAAACTGCATGTTGAATACAAAATCAGCATGCTCTACTAAACCTGAGTTGGACCAAGCATGAAAATGAAAGCAATTTAATACTCATTTATTACCATTTTACTTTGGGTTCTAAATGCTACTCTGAGAAGTTAAAATCTCCATGTAGCTGGAAACAATCAGAAAACTCACAATGGCAGCAAGAGTAGCAGTGAGCCAAGTTGCCAAAAATTTTCCAGTATTCTCATTTTTTTTTTTTTTTTTTTGCTATCGATAAAAAACAGGATTTTGATTTCTAGTAAGATAATGGAGTGGATGTTAGTTTAATTCCTCATAATTCAGATAAGAAAACCAACAACCATATTAAGTTGTATGCAGCTTATGGAACAGTATTTCAACACATGAAGTTAAAATTCTTGAACTTCACTCAGAATTCAGATGTGTACTTTAGTGGCCATTTTTTGTAGCAAAACTTTCTATAGGCATATTAGGTGCTGACTTTTCAGATCATTTTTAAACACTGAAGCATTAAAATATTGTTACGAATTTGGTATTTAAAAAGCTAATGTTAGTGAAACTTTAAAGAAATTCGTAGCGACGGCTGGGAGCAAGAGTGATGATTTTAAATTCTTACCGATGCCTGCTCGTCCATATCTGAAGCTATCCACATATGATGGGAAGACATCCTGGCTAGTGTATAAGACCCAGTTTTCTATCGTGGCGGATGCGAATGGATGGGATTCCCAAGCTAAGGCTTGTCATCTCGCCGCTTCTCTGAGAGCAGACGCAGCGGATATCCTGCAGACGCTTCCCGAAAATCAAAGGCTAGATTTCGAAGCTCTATCCAGCGCTTTGGAGCTGCGCTTTGGCGAGAAATGTTTAAAAGTCTACAGCAGGCTCCAATTAAAATCCCATCAACAGAAGCTCACCGAAACACTTCAGGAGCTCGCCACGGATGTTGAAAGGCTGTCACATCACGCCTTTTCAGAGTGCCCGACAGAAACAAGGGAAATCCTGTCCCTGCAATATTTCGTCGATGGCATCCAGGACCCTGAAATACAGAAGGCTCTACTTGATTGCTACCCAGTCAGAGCTGTGCGAGTCCACGAGCCAGGGGATCAACTGATGGCTCGTTTAGATGAATTAGATAGACAAGTCGATGATTTGATACGGAGTAGGAGCGAGAACAAAGTGGCTCTAAGGTGTTGGAAATGTGGTAGTGAAGGTCACATATGACGGAATTGTAGAACACCCCGAGGTACGGAAAAATAAAACAGATGATTTTACCAGACAAGTCAGTGGCTTGAGATGGAACAGAAGTGAAAAGAAACCAGTTCTAAAGTGCTGGAACTGCGGTGTTGGAGGCCACGTGCGAAGGAACTGCAGAACTCCCCAGAGCACAGAAAATAAGACAGACGAGTTGAACAGACAATTAAATGCTCTCGGACGAAAAAGGAGTGACAAGAAACCAAAATGCTGGAACTGTGGAACTGAAGCCCACGTACAAAGGAATTGCAGAACACCCCAGGGGACGAAAATTGAGACCATTTCTCAACAACGATGCAGGAAACAAATGAATGACCATATCGAGGAACAGAGGGTACCAGAGAATGAGAAACCTTGTTTTAAAGCGCTTAAAATTTATACAGTGAGTGGCAACAGTAACGGACTGTCCATTAATGGGAATATCGATAGAGTTCCTTGCAATATGATCATTGACACAGGAGCTAATGTTACCATCATTAGGAAAGATTTAGCTGAACAGTTTAAAGATAAACTTATTTGGACGCCATCCTGTGTTACCCTTCAGATTGCGTCTGGTGATAAGATCGACATAACTGGGAAGTTAAACGTAAGCATCACGTTTGGAAGTGCCGCCTACCATCACACGGCTTATGTGGCGGATATCACAGATCCATGCATACTCTGATTGGACTTTTTAAGGAAACACAATTTTTCCTTAGACTTGAAAAACAACAAACTGCTTCCAGCATCTGATGGCATGACTATCCATCTTCAAAAGGGATCCTCGCCTGGAAATGTCGACGCCTTGTCCGAAAGATCCAGCTCGGGAAGCTGACGAAATCATACCAGGGTCGAAAAGAACGCAAGACTACCAGCTATTCTCCATCTCAGAAGCTCTTCGGTCGAGACCTTCGTCTGCCTTGTGACCGCCTGTTTAGTCGCCCTACGGATGTGCCTTCATCGCCTGAGGAACACTTCCAAGATGCCCAGGCCCAGTTTGAGGGGATGCATCGTTCTGCACGAAAGCGAGTCAACTTGGCGACGGAGAAAGTGAAGACCAGATACAACACGAGAGCTACTGGACATAGATCCAACAAAGGAGACAAGGTGAGGTTGTGGAACCCGATTCAACGAAAAGGACTCAGACCTAAACTACAGTCACCTTCGGATGATCCGTATACAGTGCTGAACAGACTGAATGACGTTATGGTTCGGATTCGTAAGTCTTCGAACTCTAAACGTAAAGTTGTTCATTACGACAGGTTAGCTCATTACTATGGCCATAGTACATAATGTAAATAATTGTAAATAGTATCAGACCATGGTCCTTTTTGTTTTTAAATGTGTATTTGATTTGATTTGTATTTAGTATTTGATTTGCATTTAGTGTTTGATTTGTATTTAGTATTTGTTTTGTATTTAGTATTTGATAGCATTTGATTTGTTTAAGTTAGTTATTGCATTTATTGTTCATGTTGTTTGATATTGTAATGTAATTTTTATGCCTCAGTTGCATTTATGCCACAGTTGTAAGTTTAGCTTCCTGTCCAGGGATTGTACTGCCCGGGACGTGCAGTCCTTGGGAAGGGGGCAGTGTTATGAATTTAGTATTTAAAAAGCTAATGTTAGTTTAATTATAAATTAAATGGTTTTATTTCTCGCGCAGTGCAGCGCATGACGAATATTAAAAGAAAGCTAAGCCGGAAAATTGAAAATACAAGAGCGCGTGCATTAAATAAATAAATATCTCTTTTTGATTTCGAGAAAGTACTGGAAAATTCTAGCGCGTGATTTTAAAATCTTATAAAAGGAGGAAAACACCTCAGTTTGTAGGAGTTGCTTAGTTTGTTGTTGTTTAGAAAACTGCTCTTGTTGATTGTAGCGAATTTGCGGATTAGCGTTCTTTAGCTGTTTTGAATTACGTTCTATTGTACATTTGAGTAGTTAAAAGATAACTACTGTGAGCTATTGTAATACTGCATGATAATTTGAGAAAATTTAAGCATTTTTGTTGTGATAATAATAAATTGTTGTTCATTTTTCATCAGACTTGTGCATTCATTTCATAACGAACCCGTACGCACGCAACAATATGAAAACTGATTGACAGAAACTAAAATGTTACAAAAGAAATGTTATAGGTGAATTATAACAATATGCAATGAAAATAATATCATTACAGTAAACTCTGGCAAGTAAAGATTTGCAGAATGTGATTTCACTTATACATGGTATCTTAATTGTTTCCACTTGATTTGTCCAATGCTAGAATTTTATTCATATGTGGTTCATTCATTTAACAAGACTGAATGCTTGCTGGCATCAGTTCTGGCCAAAAGTTATCAACAATTTTAAAGGATTTCCACCAAATGAAAATTTAGTCAAAAAAGTCATACAAATCCCCATAAGCAACTGGCAGCAAAGGATTTTCAGATATGGAAAAAGAGAAGTCAAATTAATCAAGAAATGATGAATGAAGAACTGAATGATCTTATCACGCTAGCCAATAGTGAAAGCAGTGATAATGAAAAAGAAGTTAAAAATTGTTAAAAAAAAGTACAAAGACTGCTTGATTTTTGGATAGAGATTGAACCAAATGAAGAAAGAAGTAGGCATTTTATGAGAGATACTGTTTGTTCCTCCTTACTGTGAAACATTTAAAGAATTGTGTTAATTATTGTTCCAAGCAAAAATCAAATTAATTGATGCACTTATTAAGCAGTAATAAAAATTATTTAAATTAACATTTATTTTGTTTTTTCCCTTTTAATTACAACAACATTTAGGTTTATTTAAATTATCCATACAAGGTATGACAGGGGGGAAAAAAAAAACACCAGTCTCTATAATGCCACATTATTATTTCAGGTATAAAGTCAAGAATATACTCCGAAGATGTGGCACTTTATGAGAGATACTGTTCGTTCCTCCTTACTGTGAAACATTTAAAGAATTGTGTTAATTATTGTTCCAAGCAAAAATCAAATTAATTGATGCACTTATTAAGCAGTAATAAAAATTATTTAAATTAACATTTATTTTGTTTTTTCCCTTTTAAGTACAACAACATTTAGGTTTATTTAAATTATCCATACAAGGTATGACAGGGGGGGAAAAAACACCAGTCTCTACAGTGCCACATTATTATTTCAGGTATAAAGTCAAGAATATATTCCGAAGATGTGGCACTTTATGAGAGATACTGTTTGTTCCTCCTTACTGTGAAACATTTAAAGAATTGTGTTAATTATTGTTCCAAGCAAAAATCAAATTAATTGATGCACTTATTAAGCAGTAATAAAAATTATTTAAATTAACATTTATTTTGTTTTTTCCCTTTTAATTACAACAACATTTAGGTTTATTTAAATTATCCATACAAAGTATGACAGGAAAAAAAAAAAAAAAAAAAAAAAAAAAACCCGGTCTCTACAATGCCACATTATTGTTTCAGATATAAAGTCAAGAATATATTCCGAAGATGTTTAGAGGTATTACAAATTCTCCAAATGCTCACCAGTAAATGTTACAAAAGCTTGACCTTTCATCTTTCCAGTACAAATTTTATAATCCACTGGGTCTTTATTTTCTTCCTCAAAACGACCAAATATAGACCGCAGTTCATTAGCTGTGATTTTCCGATGCAAATTCTTCAGATACAGCGTCTAAAAGAAAACAAATATAATAAATGCAAGTTAGTTTTTAAAAAAAACTTTCATAAATAAATATCGTTTGAAAATAATAAATAAATGTTTCATAAATAAATAAATTTTCAGAAATAAATGTTTTATGTCATTTGAAAATAAATTTAGAACAAGACTGTCATAAACAGCTATCTTATACATATAAATAAATAAATAATTTATATTTTTGTGGCCGTAATCATCAAATCATTATTAACAATCATTAAACTGGATCTGGGTGAGAGAAGATCATATTATTAAATATTTTCTTTCAATATAAATAAGCATAAATAACTCTTTATCCCTCCTTACTGTAAAACCTGCCTTTTTGTATCTGCTTAAAAAAAACTATTTAAACAGCATTTATTATCTAAATTTGTATAATTCATTGCTTTAGTCTAAAATGTCATTATTAAGATAATATTTAGATCATTAAAATAGATACAAAAACAAAATATTTTAATAATGAGGTAATACAAATCAAATGACAAAGAAATCTCATGACTGGGAAAAGGCGGTCATGACATTTGAAGTTGGCAAGTTTCTTCCGCAGTATGAAAAGAAAGAAAAAAAAAAAAAAAAAAAAGTTGGAAGAAATGGATCATTTACTTAATTCATCTCCACCACTTACAAAACTCAGATTAGCAAAAGACTGATTCTCCATCTCTCGAATATCCTATTCATACCTATCAGAGTTGTTCATCCATTTAACTTATTGTGGACCATGCCTTATTTATCATTCCGATATGTAGTAAATAAAATGGGTTTAAACAATTTTTTTTTATATGAACCCTCGCACTGTCGCCATGGAAGGCTGCATTTGTTGAACCGTGATGGTTGTCAATTTCTGGTAGTCAGGTAAATTCTTCCCTTGATGATTTCTCTGTTTCTTTGGTTGGGGGCTGACGGGCTCGGCATTTTTTTACTCTCGTTACTTCACCAATTATTCAAGATCTTGCCAATGAACAAAAAGAGTGTTGCGTAGTTGGGACAGAGATGGAGAGCAACAAAAAAGAAGCTTTGCAGCGTGATCGCGACAGAACCTACACAGAAGTGGAGGGAATTCCTTCCTGAAATGAGAAAATGCCATGGCTGCTCAGTGAGAGAAGAGGGGTGAACCTTGGAGGTTAAAACACAATATACAATGTTGAAAACCCCTGCTAAGCTGAAAGTTTTTTTTCACCGAAATAAGAATGACTTGTTGGAACCAGCAGGCCCGGGAGTCCGCCAGAAGGTAACGGCAGAACGGTGGAGTTCCAGGCCACCGCCCCAGTGGCTAACGTTTAAATAATTTTAACTTACTTTTCTTTTGTCTTTACAGATATCTCCGATATCTCCCCCAGCTATCTCCCCATGATAATACAGCAACCTGCACTATGCAGAGTATGATTGTAAAGAACTCCAGTATGCTAAATTTTTTAGCAGAGGGGCAATACCACTATGTTTAGAATGTTAATTAATTATAAAAGCATGTGCCTGTTTATATTGTTGTGTCAGCTAACCATGTTAAATTTGATGACCCACCACCACCAAATTTAAAATTTAACCGTAAACCATTCATGTCACTAAATAAACAGATTGATTTTTCTTACTTATTTGTATTGTTTTTAATTTTAATTAATTTTTGACACTGGACCATATACTCTAATTTACTGGGTTTAGTTTCGCGCTTACGCAAAGCAAATAGTTATTTGAAATTACTGAATTGTTTTATTATTTATATTAACTCTGATAAATACACGAATTGTTCTTGAATGTGATTTACACAGTATAGATGTTGTATTGCACTATCTTGAAATACTCTGAGAAATGTTACTGATGCTGAGCATATTTACACATTTACCAAATACAATATTGGCATAAATACTCTCAATGTTATAAATTTTAATTACTCAGTGATGTTGACTAGTTGCACAAATTGTTAAATGACTTATGGTCTATCCTTAATATAGAACAGAAAAAAAGAGGCAGATCATTTTCTAGATGAAAAATGTATAAAAGACTTTTTACCTAGGCTGAACTGAAAAATGAAAAAAATAGGTTTACTAATTAGACAAATGTGCAACACACACACCTCTGATCTTGCCTTTAAAGCAGGCTATTATAAAAGCTTTCAAATGTTACAAAAATTTGTTCAGAAAGTGATAAACAGAATTGAATCTTGTACAAGTGCAAGCCCTTCGAAGGAGATAACAAAGTCGATATATCAGCTAGAGGACAAGCACATCACAGTAAAAGCAGGAAGTTAAAAAACAGAGTTAAAAACTGTCTCCAAAAAAGTGACTTAACCCAGAGGAACTGCATGATATAGCTAATGTGTGACATCAGCGATCAGAGTTGTGCAGATTCAGTTTTGGAATTAGGGTTAATTGACAACAATCCAACCTGAGTAAAAACAGATTATAATATTTTATAAAGTTTCATAGCTCTCAAATTAAAAGAACTGCAGAAACTGACACTGAAAATGATAACACGTCAATGTTGATCGAGTCTAGAAATGCATTATACATTTCAAGAAAATCTCCAACTGAAAAGTGCTTATTAAAAAAGCTACTAGCAGTTTTAAAAATTGAGTACCCAACTGAAAAACTGCTGATGAAAAATAAATAATAATAATAATAAAAAAACACAGATGGACCAGTTGTTTGTAAAACTTAAAAAATTTCAACAGATATATGTTTATAAAAATATTTTCATATAAAAAAATTTATTACAAAATTGCATAAATAGTTTAATTTTAGTAGTTGTTTTTATTTTTTTAGCAATCGTTTTTATTTACATCTTTAAGTATTAGTTATTCGATTAATTGTTAGATATTATCTTGTTTAAAAGGTTTAAAACTGATATCAAGATTTGCAATTCATAAATCAATGTCTAGTAAACTCAACTGCTTAATAAATTCAAATATGTTTGGAATGGAAGCAATTTTAATAAGCAGCAAGTATTGTATGTACCCACTACTCATATGGTGTAAATAATATTCAGTGGTGTAAAGTAAAATGGTAAATCATTAATCAAAAATGCTCAACCAAAATTGAGAATAAGAAAGCAAATCTTACCTTACTTAAATCTCCTGCTTCATAATTTTGAAATCTAGGTATGTTCTTGATTTCATCAATATTCAAACGATTTTCAACAACTTCATTTTCTTCAAGAGGAACAACAACATGATGAATATTGCAATCATAGTGAAAATTGCAATCTGGTGTTGTGCTAGAATTTTCAGGGCCCATAAATTTCAATTCATTTTTTGAGTCTTTAAGTTTTTTTCTTTTCTTATTCTTACATTTTTCAATAAGTTTTTCTGATAAGCTTTTTACATAACTGAACACATCATCATTTTCGGCAGCACAATTCTCTTCAAGAGATACCAAGTATGACAACTTACTTTTTTCGGCACAGCCGGCATACAATGTTTTCTCAATTTCCATTTCATGCCTGGTTAGTTTTTTAATATTGTTCAAAGCTTGTGGTCTTAGAAGCTCTTTATTATGAGCCTCAATTTTTTCTTCTATCCTTTTCATATTCTCTTGCCATATTACTGGATCAACAAGGTGCTTAGCTTTTCCCTAAAATAAAAAAAAAAAAAAAAAAAAAAAAAAAAAAATAAAGTAAACTAAATTAAGTACCAACATTACATTGCAAAATTATAAAAACTGAAACAAGGAAGATTTTCATTGTAACCAATATTCAATTTTGCAAGTAAAGAAACAAAATTCTCATGTTTAGAAAATCAGCATCTCAAATGTAATTAGAATTTTTTCTCGAGTGAATATGGAAATAAATTTACAAAAATTATATTTATTAATTTGGACAGAAGAAGTATATTTTAATTCCCTTTTTGTTTGAGTCTTAGAAAACACAAATGATACAGGCAATTATACAATGCTTCAACTAGTAATAATTTAAAATTTTGAAAATTAGAACTCAAACTACCAATCAAAATATAGCAAAACTTTAATTGAATCTTAACTAATTTTTATGTTGAAAAGCTTGCATTCCTTCTCTCTGTCTTCCCAGCTAGCTGCCACTGCTTATCTTGCCACCATTAAAATTAATTACAAAAGGGTAAAAAGTGTCAACACAACTACTTAAGATGAAGTTTTTGTGCCAAGTTAGCAAGGTGCATCAAAAATGTGATGTCAACAATATAAAATATTCAAGACACCATGACTGCATCTGTTTCTTCATGAATCAGCAGTCACTGTTCATCATCACATCAATACATATTGTTGCATGTGTACGGTTTGCAATAGATTGAATGCACACAGTATGTATCACACCACTTTTGCATGTCAACCCTTGCTTAGCTGCAGTAGAATAGCTCTCTATGCAAAATCTTCATTATTCTAAAGTAGCCTCCTGTCAGACTGTTGTGTAGTTTTTTATCAGCTGCCATCGGAATGCCTTTCCATCATACGATTCAAATAAAAGACTTTGTTTCAAATATGAAATGCCAGACAGCCCAAAATTGGTTCATCATAGGACAAAATTGCTTCATCATCAAAATGCCCCGCCAGGTAGCTTTTTATTTGAAGACTCCATTCAGTCAACTATGGGTTTAATGTCCCCATCTTCTAACTGGTCTTTTCTGACTTCTTTATCACACCATGGATCTATGCCAGACGATGTTGACTTTATAATTTGACGTAGGACCGGATCAAACAACTCTTGTTTCCCGTTGACTCTGGAACAATATCAACAACTATCTGAGCATGGTCTTCTAGACAGGTCATTGGCATTTCCATGTAACAATAAATTCCAATAACAGATAGTGAAGTCATATTCCTACTGTTTCTGTATCCATTTGCCTATCTGGCCTTTAGGATTCTTGAAATTTAAGAGGCAGATCAATGGACCATGATCTGTGCAGAGCAGGATTTTTTTTTGCTATAATGGCAGAAATATTCTATGGCTTTAACTAAGGTGAATATTTTCTGGTGACAGAGTATTTCTCTTGGCTTTAGATAGACACTTGTTTCAGTATGCTATGACACGTTATTGTAGCCTTATTTCTTGGGACAAAGCAGCACCGACACTCACATTACTCACATCCATGCCCAGAGGCTTTGTCGGACTGAGAATACATTAGGACTGGCACATACGTTATGGATGCTCGCTATGGTCTTATAAAGTCCCCCCAGGCCTTCCATTCTCAAAATGACTGGATGGCGCATACAGTTAACATATAAGGGCTGGATATACATAGTTACACAGAAGGATCAATTACAGTTATTCTATTACTGTACCAATTACTGTTATACAGGTACCAAACCCATGCCAAATGATCCACAATTTTGGTGAGCTTTGCCTAATTTGGTCACAAATATTAGTCTCTAAAACTATCTTGAGCTTGGTGCCCTTTACCTCAATGTTTAATGAACTTGACCCTGTAACCTTATTTTCCGGGCGAAACTTCATTTATGAGGCCTTTATGTTATATTATACAAGAGACACTATAATTTTAAACATAATTTCACTAAATTTATTTACATATATACAAAATTTGTAATAATAAATGCAATATGCCACATCCTTCTTCTAAATCCTCTAATTATATAAATAAAGAAGAGTATGTGTTTCTAATTCATACAAATCTATATATATATTTTGCTCTTGATGAAATTTTGTAGACTTACTTTTTAAAACAAAAGAAAAATCACTAGCTACATAAGACTTCAAAACGCCTCATGGTGTCAACTCTCAGGATGTTTATATTAGAACGTTTCACTCACATTATCCAGCTTAGGTTCATGTCATTGTTGTTGCCTTCTTGCTATCAGTGGAAGAAGTAAACAAGGTATTTACATCAATGAACTTATGCACCTACTGTGCATTCTCACTATCAGTTCTTGCTAAGGCCATTAATTTGGCACATTTTCATTTACTCTTTAGAACAGTACACATTTTTTCAGAACAGTGTAGAACCTTTAAAGCAGAATTTAACTGCCCTCTTATAAGTAACCTACACATTCGAACACCCACCAATCTAGATCTCTTACCTTTAAAAGACTGATGATATCTCAATGCCACCTATATCCAAAAATCATGAAAGTACACCAAAAGCTCAGAGCTCTAGGACTGGACCTATGCCATGTCACACCTTAAGATCAAAAATAAAAAAGCGTAAACAGCAATGTCTAGGTTACACCCCAATAAGTAACTCTGTACAATATTAATAATTTTCATAATGCTCCAATACACTGAACCTACAGAGCTGAGACCATGGAATTTATTTATGAACTTTGGACTGAAAGATCTGAGCTCAGTACAATCTTACCTGTAACAAATATCCTCACATAACAAGAACCAGACTCCTCTATGTATTAGCAAAATCAAATCCAATATATTTATCCATTTACATAAAAATGCAAAATTTCCAGTGCAACAATTTCCAAAATATGAATTTCACTATATTTACGTAATCCAATATTTTAATGAGTATACTAAACAGTTTTTTTTATTATGTAACTTTGTATGTAATTCTATGTTATTATCCTCTTATGTTTAAATGTAACAACTTTGATGTATAACTCCAGTATTACTTAGAAATAGCATATAATCAGTTCAAGTTTCAATATTCTAGGTGTTTAGTGTATTGGGGCAATACCTGTTCAATTCTGTGGTGAAGTTTCTGGTGCCCTATGCACTTTTACCTGCTTACCTGCTCTCTCCACCAGTTTTCCATCAAAATTATTGATGAAATTGGCAGAAGTGGATGGCAATTTTCCAAAAGTTCTTTTCCAATAATAATAATAATAATAATAAAGATGAGATAAAAAAGCAGGTACTAGTGCTTCTTAAAAAATTGCTTCTTTCTCTTGTTTCATGGTACCGTGTTAGTTCTACACCGTTATACAGTGTTATTCCAGCTTGGAAAAATTTTGCACAATACACCTTGAACCAAAATAAGTTAAAAAATTACTGTCTACTTGAGACTTCGAAAAAATTACTTTCATCCTCATAAATGAACGGCACAAAAAGCTCAGGCAATGCCAGGTATTTCAGCTAGTACAAGGTGAATACCATTCAACTCTGAATAACTAGTTCCATTCAACTGTCATCAATTCCATTCAACTCTGAATAACTAGTTCAAAGTATGAATACTTCAGATTAGTTATTTAGAGAAATAACGCAAAAGGATTATTCCTTACAAAATGATACAAGACCCACTCACAAAATTCAGAACTAATCTAAAAATCTATGAAAGATAGCAAAAAAAATCAGTTATACAGCATTACTGAATTAGTAAAGAAAAGACATACTGTGCATGTGAATGCAACTAATAATTGCCTGAACAGCATTTTGTTTAAAAAAAAAAAAAAAAAAAAAAAAAAAAAAAGGACAAAGGATCTCATCAACACTTAGAGTTACAGGGCTGTTGAGAGGGAACAATCGAACCTTTGATGCAAATAAATCCATAGAGAGATCAATTAAATAAAACCATCTGTAAAAAATCTGATGTGGACATGACTTCCTTGTACACCTATTAAATTACAGACATTTTTTGCAGCACTTCATTTAAACTTATTTTATTTGAAAGTGAGAAATGATCCTCTAGTTCTTTAATAAAATAGATAGTTACACAATTGCTTTATTAACATCAAATTATTAATTCAACAATTTTACCTGAAATATTAAGATAGAGTAAAAGTCCCTCTATTACTCTTTAAATAAATTAAATCTTTTATCTAACAAATACTATGTTTTTAAAATTATTATGATGTAATCATCAGCAAAATGAAAACAAAAACAAAATATTAGAAAACTACTAAATTTTCAAATTACACTTCTAACACATTTTTCCTGGATTTAAAATATGTTAAGATAATATGTTTGCCATATTCAGAGGAGGTTACTGGAAACTTTGAATTTCTGAAAGACAATCTGATTGGCACTGCGAGAAGTGGCCTTACGCCAGCTGTCCAAATGACACTCTTGCAAAACATAATTCATTAAGAAAGTGATCATTGCCAATGCTGGCACGAAAATTTACCTTTTTTGATTTCCTTGATTTTTCCCGGTTTTCCAGGTAGCATAGCAACCCTGGTTGTAGTTGTTACCTCACAGCAATTTTGGAGAGCTTCACTTTCTAGATGGGTTTTGCATTTTGTTGTGTTTAAGTTCCTAGTAATTTGAAGTATAATTACTGATTATGCTCTGTTATACTGCGAACAGCTGTACCAGTATTTTTGTGGAAAGTTCCAGAACTGAGAAGTGTTTCTTTGGATAAAAATAAATCTTATCAAGCTATCATCGGTTCTGTGCATATTTAACCTATTGCACACCTGTACACATGCAACATAATAAATTCTGTCTTAACTTCCACAATGAGTGGCAAAAGCAATACAAAAATTAATGGAACAATATGTCTTTAGTCACCAATCTCACACCACATTGCCAACAGTATATAGCGGGTGCTACTTAAGCATTACACTATGCTAAAATTAAACACTATTTCAAATCATTAGTATGGCTCTAAATGCAGAGAATATAGCTACTGATAGTGATGGAAGTGACAAGGAGGTTGCTGTGGAAGAAGAATCTTGATTGGCAATTTAGTGGGAATTTTCGGCTCAGCAATTACATAACCTGAAGAATGGAACTTTGTAACTGAACAAGAAATTATGAGAAGCAACTTAAACAACTTACACTGAAAGAAATATTTAATAAGGTAAACAAATAAACAATGAGCATTTTCAGGGGAATTTCAACTGTCTCAAGTTCATAAATATTTCATTGTTTCACAGACAACTATTTCACATTTTAATTTTGGAATTTCTACATGTCACCTTACTAGATTTAAATTGATGGTCTAAAATCTGAAAAATTCCAGGAACCGAAATCCTGAGAAGCTTGAATATCCGACTTTGCCCTGCAAAATAAAAAAGTAAGATTATCTTTTTTACTACCTTTCCAGATTTATACATAAGATAGTCAATAATTTCTTCCTCTGTAAGTCCACACCTTTGCAACTCTTGATGCATTTCTTCGTCTTTCTCAAGTTCTTGGAATTTTTCAAGAGTACAGGTACCTTTTATTAATTCAGTCAGAGAATTGTAGGTGCTTGGACTTGTAAATGTGCGATGTTCAGCCAACAGCCTAAGTAATACAAAATATTGCAAATGCAGCCACATCCATAAAAACAAAAGCCATCTAAAGATATTATACATATATACTTGTAGACACACACACACACACACACACACACACACACAACAAAAAAAAAAAAAAAAAAAAAAAAAATTTCCCCATAAATAAATTAAAATATGACTCAATAGATAAATAAAAATAGTAGGTTCATTATTTTTAGGATATATCATTTAAAAGAATAATAAATTCTTCCTTTTCATAAAGGAAGACATTACCATGTTGAATTTATTCGAAATAAAAAATACTATTTTTTAAAGTATCTTCTTAAAACCTTTCAATCATATAATCTTACACTTAAACTACAGGGGTGGGGAAAGTCTGCATTTAGAGAGAAAACTTAAATTTCTTTTTTATTTTGTCAGTCATTCCCATATTTAGTCATAAAGTTACAATGGGTATTTTTTTTTGTCACATAAAGAATTATGTCATAAAGAATTATGTGTGACGGGTCAGTTGTAAAGCAATTTTATTTTGTGGTTTAACATATACCTTCATCATTAGAATGAATAAATAGAATGACTCCCTTAGATCATATTTTAATCAGTTTTTCAGAGATTATTTAAATGAATAATTTTTGCCAACATGAGGGTCATTATATTTTCAAAATGCTTCAGGTTCAATCTTTGAAACTAGCAAGAATCCAATTATTGGGTACTTGTTCGTCTTACTTGCTGTACCTATGATAGAGAGAGGAGGGGGTTAAATAAATAAATAAACAAATGAAATTCATTTAGGTATTTTTTTGTACTTTGATTATTCACCCCTCTCCATTTATGAATAGATGCTGACAAATTTTTTGCCGAAGTGAAGTTTCTTTTTTCCAAAGTAAGACATGAAAGACAACAACAATTTTTAAAAAAATGGCAGCAGACTATTGATTACATAAATTTAAATAAAATTAAAAATGCAAGAAATACCCATAATAAAGTACTTGCCTACTTTTTAGCGCTATTTTCCCTATATACACAGCAATTTATTCTAGCTTAAAAGATACCAGAGAATTGCAAAAACTTGGCATTGTGCACATGTACAACTTCGCACTGTCATTCTCTTCCTATACACAGCAATTCACTTTCACTTAAAAAACACCAGAGAACTGCACAAATGTTCATCCATTAAATCCACAGTTTATAAAGCACAAATTTATAAAGTAGAATTTCATGGAATGTGTATTTTTGCATTGTCTACAGTTAGGCTAAACACTCAATTCTAAAAAAATGCAACGCTTTCTTTTACATTAACCAGCAAACTCCAGAGTTTTATTATGATTCCTCACAAGAAAAAAATTGTACTCAATTCAATAAAACAAACAATAATGACTGGAGCTCATCTTCAGCATGCACACATACCTGGATTGGCTACTGTGATGACACAGTGCATTGCCTCGCAAATACTTTGCAAGGGGATGCGAATAATCAAAAATAGCCATTTTTCTACTGAACCCATACCATGCATTTTCAGTGCCATACTGGCCCATTTTGACTTCTCTTTCCCTGTGCATTTGCCTCAATAGTAGACGAAATGGAACAATTGAGGGATGGCATCAAGGCAAGGAAATATTGTCAATTCAGAACTACTCTTATATGTGCCCTCACTCAGAAACTCCACACTGCCATATTACTAACTAAATTTTTTGTTTACATTTCGAACTTTAAGACTAAAATGTCTCCAAAAACATGGTTTAAAAATTCGAAAGAAAAGCAAAAACTTAATAGCAAAAACATACAGTTTCTAACCAAAAATATTTGACGAGAATCTATGTACACAGCAATATGTTTTAACTTAGAAAAAACATCTACGAATTGCACAATCTAGGCAACAAATGAATCTATGAACTAAGCACACCCCGCTTTAATAAATTAACAAAACAACAATAAATTTCAAAGAATACCATGTACACAGCATTCTGTTTCAACTTTAAAAAACATCTACGAATTGCACAATCTAGGCACTATACACTTATCAACAAAATAAACTAAAATAACTAAAATAAATTTCAAACAATTCAAAAAAACAACAATAAGAACAGAAATTCGTACTAAAAAAACAATGAACATAACATTCAAGAAAATAAGAACAAGAATACGAAAAAATAGTTGTACCAGGCTCAATCCACTCTTTAACACACTGCATCAGCGTTTCCCTACTACTATCATGCACAGCCACTAAAAATAATCTCCCAGACCCTCTTTCCACACCCCCTAATACCCACTGCTCCTCAACAGGATGGCCACGATGATATTTCTTTTTGCTGAACTTCAATTCATCAACTTCCACCACTTTATCTTCCCCCCTTATCTTCTCAGACATACAGCATTACACAGAGTAGACTCATTAACAACTCCAGCATTGTATCTTTTAATACTAAATTTCCTTTGCACACAATCTAAAATACGTGACAGAAATCTTGCCATTACATCTCTCATTGCAGCATAGGCCATTTCAAAACACGCATGAAACGAACCAATGAGCAATTAAACTACTCCAGCAAAAGATCTTTCAACGTCAACAGGGTTGCCATACAACATGCAATCCTGCCAAAAACCAGCACAGTACACATATTGCCACATTTGGTGATATTAGGGCACAAAAAAGAGTAAAGCCGTCAATTCTTATGTATTAAACAAAAGAATTCAGATTCAAAAAGGGAAGGAATGATGCAACAAAGATGAAAAATTTTAAAAGTGATAATTTAAAAGTAACCCAAATGTCTATTGAGAGTAATTCCTTCAAATACACATTTGGTCACCAATCTCCAAAGTTTTGGCACTTTTACACACACACACACACACAAAAGGAAAATTCATAAAAAAAATTAATTTTGTGGAAAATATCATAAGATTAGGGAACATTTTGCAAAAAATTCAAGAAAACTGCCAGATATGCTCTAGATTCTCAACCAGTGGTACACAAAAGAAAAATAGGTGGTACACAAAGAAACAAAGTATTTTTAAATTAAATATCCAAACATCCTGTTTAAGATTTTTCTCTAACACTCATAAATTTATGGGCTCATATTGCTCTACATTCAATTATAATAATTTTTTATGTCAATTTGCTGTCTCTAACAGCTGGTATTTATTTGTCTTCTTCTTGTTTTGCATTCCTTATTTTTTTACGTATTTTGAGAATTCGTTCTGAATAACTCGTTGTATATCGTGCACTTAAATATTCGTGAAAAAAAAAAAAATAATAATAAATAAAAAAAAAAAACCTAGAATTTCAAAATGGAAAACTAGCTAAGATTCACTAAGCGGAAAATTGATGATTCACAGGTGATGAATCCAGGGCAATCTACTAAAACTAAGACTACTAAAAAAAAAAAAAAAAAAAAAAAAAAAAAAAAAAAAATGTTTGCAGAAAATGTAAATAACTTTCATTATTGAAGGCTATTTATCATTTGGGTTTACTTGGAATGGAGATGAAATGGACCCTCAACCTCAATGTGTTGTTTGCGGTGAACTAATATCCAATCAAAGTATAAAATCATCATTTCTTAAAAGCCACCTTGAATTTAAGCATACCAATTTAAAGGACAAATCTGAAGAATATTTTAAGCAGAAATTACGGAGTTTAGAAATAATAAACAAGTAATGAAAGGTTTTGTTACTTCACGTGAAACAGATTTGGAAGCGAGTTACCTAGTAAGCCTAAGAATTGCCAAGACTGAGCAGGCTCACCCTATTGGAGAAAATCTAATATTACCAGCAGCTAGAGATATCATTTTATCATTACTCAAGGAAAAAACTGGTAACGAACTCAATAATTCTTCGTTATCCTATGATATAGTAAGTCGACGAATCCATGAAATGGCAAATTTCATAAAAGAGACACTTATGCAAAAAATAAAACACAGCGAGTATTTCACATTGCAGTTGGATGAAAATATTAATATGATGAACTTTGTTCAATTATTCATTTACATACATTTCGAAGAAGATAAACAAATTGCCAAAAAATATTTATTTTGTGAATCTCTTCATGATAGAGCAAACACAAATGAAATTTTCAAAGTAATTGACAATTTTATGTCTGAGAATGATATTCCTTGGAATAAATGCATTGCCATATGCAGTGACGGAGCTTGAGCTTTAACAGGAAAACTTTCCAATGTTATTTCTCAAATGAAGAGAGTCGCACCTGAAACTAAATTTACTCAGTCCTCCATTCATCATGAAGATTTAGTGGCCAAAATAATCTCTGAAAACCAGAAAATCATTTTGAATCAAGCTGAGAAAATTTTAAATTACTGAAAGCTGAGCTTTAAATTTAAGAATATTTATGATTTTATGCCAAGAGATGGGCAGTGAACATGATAGGTTTTTACATTCTGAAGTAAGGTGGATATCCAGAGGCAAAATTTTAAATCGCCATTTTGAACTTCAATAAAACAAACAGTAATCTCTAGTGTTCATCTGCTGCACACACACATACCTGGACTAGCTACTTAGATGACACAATGCATTGCCTCACAAATACTTTTCAAAGGAAAGGTGAATAATCAAAAATAGCCCTTTTTTTTATTGAACCCATACCATGCATTTTCAGTGCCATACTGGCCCATTTTGACTTCTCTTTCCTCTATGCATTTTTCACAGAGAAATTCAATTTTCTCTGAGATTCAAAACTTGAATTACAAAAATGATTATTTAATGAATTATGGTTTTCACATTTAGCATAGTTAACTGTTATTTCTGGAGAGTTTAATAAACTAAATTTAGGATTACAAGGACAAAACATTAATTTGTTTACCATTACAGATAAAATAAAATAAACCATAAAAAAAATTGAGCTAATAATCAAAGAATTCGATAATAATGTTTCAAGCTTTTTACCAATTTTAGAAAATTTTCTAACCAAAAATAATTTGAAAATAAAAGAAAAATTAGCACCCAACATTAAAAATCATTGTTTTTCACTAATAAATAATTTCAACATGCATTTTCCCCGAGGATTATGAAAAAGAAAATTGGATAAGAAATCCATTTTGTTCAAATGTGCCTGAAATTTTATCTCACAAGAAAAAGAACAATTGATAAAATTTTCTGTAATCGAACTGTAACTGAAGATTTCAAAAATAATACACCTGTTAACTTCGGCTAAAAAAAAAAAATGAAGGTATTTCAAACAAAGCTATCAAATTTGTATTGCCTTTTTGCACAACTTATTTGTGTGAACAAGAATTTTCTTCCATGTTATATTTGAAAAATAAACACAGAACAAAATTAAAAAAGGATCCAAATTTATGGTTAAAACTATGTGAAATGAGACCAGATATAGAGAAATTAATTTCTCTTAAATAGGCCCAAATTTCGCACTAAATTTCAGAAAACTTAAATTTTGATAATTAAAATGGTAACCAATATTTAATCTAATATCTTTTTGTGTGCATATTTAATACACATAGCCAATAGATTGTGCAAATGGCAAAATATATTTTTCTAAATATTTCCATTGAGAAGTTAAACTATCATTATAAAATGTAGTGATATTAAAGATTTTCAATTTTTGTTTAAATGGTACATGTTAGTCAAAAGGTTGAGAACTGCTGCTCTAGACCAGGGGTCTCCAAACTTTCCAGCCTTAGGGCCATACTGATTACTCCAGTAAGTTCCGAGGGCCAAAACCATATTATCATTGTTGCCGGTGGTAAAAAGTGAAATAGTCCACTGATGAAAAAAAAAGTCCGAAAAAGTACGCAACGTTTAAAAAAGGCTGCAAATCGGACTGAAGTCCGCAAAACGGCAACACTGCATATTACAGTCAAAAGTCGTTAATTCGGACACCCATAATCCGGAATGATCTATAATCCGAACCTCAAAGCTGAAAACTTTCTGCGCATGCGCCGCGTTGACACATGCATGCGTATAGACCTTTACGCGCACGTAATGACACGCACGCCATATGCGTGTGCGCAAGCAGAATACGTTTTCGCGTGTGCGTTTAACGTATAACGGACGATATAAACTAAAATTATACAATTATCTATTTCAGTTAATGTTGATGCTTGCGTTATACCTTAATCTTCGAACTGGATGCAGCTTATTATTTTTTTGCAGATTGTAAGAGCAATTTTATAAAAAGTAAACTTGAACTTTCGATTATTCCAATTTCCGATTGGAGCTCCCAAAGGATCTACAAAACGAAAGTATGTCTCGATGTCCGTCAAACAAAAAGTGAAATTGCTGCAAAAATTGGATAAAGACATGAAGAAGGTGACAGAGAGGTTAGTGAAAACGAAAAAATTTCGATTGACAAGTTAGTCGGTATTCTCGGCATAGCAATTAGGGGACTTGAACAGCGGAGCTTTTTAACTGAACAAGAAATTATGTCTGTTTATAGAATTAAAGAGAAAGTATTATCACATAAAACGAAACAACTTACATTGAAAGAAATGTTTAATAAAGTAAACAAATAAATATTAAGCTTCTTTTTTTGTAAATTTTGATACCCTTTAGATCATAATTGTTCTTATTTCCTAAAATACGGTTTCATATTTTTAATTTAGAATTTGTGCATGCCATCTTACTAGATTTAAACTGATGATCTATATATCCCGGAAAAATCGAAATCCGGAATCGCTGAAGTCCCGACGAGTCCGGATTAACGACTTTTGACTGTATTAATTTTCCTGTCATTATCTGTATTTTCTAGATTAGTCGTAGAGTACGAGCCATGAGGAGTAAGGTGACACGACATCTGGTGGACACAAGTGGAAATAGGTAGTACCTTCTATCGCAACAGATGGCGCTAATAGCACGTACTGAAGTCAGTTCTATGACACTGTTGTGAAATAAAATAGTGCGTACCTTCCTTAAACGTGTTTGTGCGTGTTTAAGTTTAAGACATCTTGTAACAGTATTTTGATTGAATTGTTGCTTTTGTGTGTGATTTAGTAGTATGGAAAAGAAGCGCGAAAATTGATAGTGAATGCAGAAAACTCAAAGATCAGTGGGAACATTCAGTATTTCGTAATTGAGTCCAGTAACAAGGCGCTATGTTTGATTTGCAATGAAAGCATAGCCGTTCTCAAAGAATATAACATTAAACGTCATTATGAAACAAAACATTTTTCAAAATTACTCAAAATATACAGGAAGTTTGCGACAGAAAAATTTGAAGCTATGAAGCGCGGATTGAAATTGCAGCAATCTCCATTTACAAAACTCAAAACTGAACAAGAGGCTGCAACTCGTGCCAGCTTCGTGTGGCTCTTGAAATTGCAAAACGTGGAAAACCATTCACCCGATGGAGAAATGATCAAAGAATGCATAATTGCAGTAGCCGAAGAAATATGCCCTGAAAAGGTAAATTTATTAAAAAACTGTCAGTATGTCAGCAACACTGTGGCTCTAAGGGTACAAAACATCGCTGAAAAATATATCCTCTCAACTGTTCGACAAAAATGGACATGTTGAGTGGTTTTCTTTGGCTTTGGATGAGTCAACGGATGTGTCAGATACTGCTCAGGTGTTGATTTATATTCGAGAGTAGATAAAGCTATGAAGTGCATGAAGAACTTCTTGATATGTATAGTATTCATGGCACAAACTACTGGTACAGATATTTTTAAAGGAGTTGAAATGGCCATTAATCAAAAAGAACCTTCAGTGGAAAAACTTGAAGTTTATTACAACTGATGGAGGCAGAAACATGTGTGTTAAAAATAAAGGAGCGGTTGATCAAAGGTTGTAGAAAATGATGGTAGTTCAAAACCATTAGTATTACATCAACAGTCGTTGTGCGGGAAATGTTTAGATATGGCTGAAATTCTAAAACCAGTCATATCAGTAGTTGATTTCATCAGATCTACTGGGCTGAATCACCGACAATTCTGTGAATTTATTGAAGGAGATTTGAGAAAATGACTTACCTTATCATACTGCTGCCGTACGTTGGCTTAGTTGTGGAAAGTCCTTCAGCGCTTTTTTGAACTTCGAGCAGTGATCGAAATTTTTTTGAATGAAAAGCATCGCCCTCTTACTGAATTACAAAACAACGCATGGCTGTGGAAGTTAGCATTCTATGTTGATTTGACAAAACATGTGAACGAACTGAATTTGAGATTGCAAGGAGAAAACCAGCATCTTCCTGATTTTATACACTAATATCAAATCATTCCGGAAGAAATTGATACTGGTTTCAATCACAACTACGAAGTAAATGTTTTCACATTTTAAAACATGTGAAATATTTAGCCAACACCACTGAGACTGAGTTTCCTACGATTTTGCAATCGAAACTTTGAGTGATTTGAAAATAAAATTTTGATACTCGTTTCTCGGACTTTGATGCCATTGCGAATCAAATTAAGATTTTTCAGAATCCTTTTGATACTGACATTGAAACCCTAGCCCCGGAACTTCAAATGGAAATGATTGATCTACAGTGCAGTGATATAATTAAGAACAAATATCAAAACTCATCTTTGTTGGAATTTTATAAGAGTCTTCCACTGACACAATTTGATAATTTGCATAAATTTGCTCGTGGGCTCTTTTCTGTTTTTTGGTACTACTTATTTGTGTGAGAAGACCTTCTCGAAAGTGAAGTACACAAAAAATGTTTTACAGATCTAAATTAACTGATGAGCATCTTAAATCTCTTTTAATAATTGGTACAAGTAAAATTAGTCCACAACTACAAACTATTGTCAGTGGAAAATCTCAATTACATAAATCTCATTAGTATTTCATATGTCATTATACTTTTTATAAGTTATGTTTTTATTTAAAATGTATAAAATGTTAGTTGGATTCATTTCAATAATTTGTTAGTTATTATATTGACTGAAGTTAAATTTTCTGCATATTATACATGTCTTTACCATTACAGTTCTGTGTTTCTTATCCAACTTATCACAAAAACAATAACAATAAGCTACAACAAATGTTATGAGTAGTTAGCTCATGACCATATCAATGTAGATGTCATATTAATAATTATTCAACATAAAATTATAATACTTCAGTAAACTAAATTTAATTTTCTATAAAAAATATGTTCTCTAAAAGGAGTTTTCAAGTATGCTAGCTCTCCGCGGGACGGACAAAATCTATCCGCGGGCCGGATGTGGCCCTCGGGCCGTAGTTTGGAGACCCCTGCTCTAGACCATAGCACCAAATGAGCAGTCTCTTTTCTGGTAAAAATGATGTCAACAGAAGGTATCTCTTAAAAATTTAACGAATTACATTTTTAAGAAATATGCTTAGAGGGAAATGGTCTTAAACTTTAATGAAATACCAAACTGGCTTACTCTTTCATTGATAATTTTGTATTCAATTGCTTCTGCAATAAAACTTTCATGTGCTTTTCGGCTTCAGTTTCGACTCCCAGATCTTCCGTCTCCGCATCGTCATCGAACATGGACGAAGCTGGTCTCTTCTTCACAAGCTTCATTCCACTTTTTCTGAAATATTAGAAAATTCTTTTATACAGATTTAAAATAAAAAGGTTGGCAAGAAACGCCTATCATATGTATGTCATACACATAAAATTGAAAAACACTTTGTAGTGGCAAGAAAGATGAACTGTCACACTTCCACCTTGGCATGAAACAAATGCTTACGGATCTGCATGTGTTGTAAATAGTTTTATAAGGTATTTCTCCCACCTTCTTAGCAAGCCTTCGTGGTGTAGTGGTCTGCACGCTCAGCGTAATTGAGAGGTCTGCGGTTCGATTCCCGGTGAACACATTGCTAATTTTTCATCTTGGCTGCTTCCAAAAATTACCTAATGTCTCTACAGTGGCACCCAAAATAAAAGGGTGTTGGATGATGATTCTCCTCGCCCAGGATTTGGCGATTTGGTCCCCTAAAAAACTCCAATTGCCCTTTAAAAAGGGGAAACATATAAGGCTGCCTTCTTAGCGAGCCATCGTGGTGTAGTAGTCTCCACGCCCAGCGCGTAATTGAGAGGTCCGTGGTTCGATTCCCGGCGAAGGCATTGCATATTTTTCCCTCTTGCCTGCTTCCAAAAAAATACCTAATGTCTCTACAGTTTTATGCCAGTGGTCTCAAACTAGTAGCCCACAGGTGAACCAATTTTATGTGGCCTGCAAATATGAGGACTGTTAAAAAAATGACCAAACTTTTTAAACTGTGTGCTAATGACTGCAGATGGCATATTGCAGTGCTGCGCAATCGGTGTGCCGCGGCACACTGGTGTGCCATGAGTAGGATATAGGTGTGCCGCAATCAAATACATGTATTTGACATTTTGCAATTTTTATCATGTATTTAATACACAATGACAATTTTTTCCCTTAATAAGTATTTAAATGTTTTTATATATTTCACTGTTGTGTGTGTGATTGTAAGTATGTCAGCATTTGAATTTTTTCGGCACTTCCTTGATAACTCGGAACTCAAAAATATATAACTTTTTTTAAGTGCAGGTATCACATTGATAATTATTATGATTGCATATAAATAAATATGTTATGGTTTTATAATTGTATATTTTTCAAATTAAAAACAAAAATTTATTGTAAATTTTGTGTATAAATCAATACATATATACATTAGCTTTTGGTGTGCTACGAAATTCCAGAAAGACTTTTTGTGCGTCGCAGGTGAGAAAAGGTTGCGGAGCACTGGCATATTGCACTAGTTGTGCCCATGTTAATTACCGGCATATCTTAGTAACAGATTGCCTTTTATTGGGTTCTGATATATCTGTTTTTTTATCAAGTAACTATCTTTTAAGTGAAGTCGGGCATAGGCTGTTTATACTTTTACATTTGAGATTAGCGAAAAAGCAAAAAATGAAGAAATAAGAGGAGCAACTCATTTGTGTGAAATTTTGCTCAAAACTGGGAAAAATTTCATGGAAACATTCCGAATATTTAATATATGCACAAAAGTGACTGCAAAAGCCGTATGCTGTACTGTGATTGATTTCAGTGTTTTAAACAGCAAAATTTCAGTTGACTAAGATCCACAAATGATAATCTTTCACATCAACAGACGACCAACATGTTAGTGTGCACTATCAGTTTGTAACACATGGTATATTGTACAACAAAAAATAGAATTCTCAATGTGATTGAGAGATACTATATGTAGGAAGAGATCTGAATTGTGGGAAGCATAAGTCTTGTATGATGCATCATGACAGACAGTGCTCCAGCTCAGGCATCATTCCTCGTTACCAATAATTTGGCGAAACATCTCGCTTCTGCTGTGCCCCACCATCCTATTCTCTGAATTTGGTCCCAGGAGACTTTTTTCTCTCACCCAAACTTAAAACTACTTTGAAAGAACATGATTTCCAGTCCACAGAGGAAATTTAGGAAAATGCAATGACAGTATTGCACACCACTGAAAAAAGTCATTTCTAGCAAGTGTACAAAAGGCAGAAGAAACAACGGCAATGGTGTTTTGACACTAAAGGGTAGTGCTCTGAAGGGGATATTATTTAAAATTTACATATTTAGCAATACAGAAACAACAGTAAAAGTTCGGTCATGCTTACTTTTGTACAAAGTAAAGGAAGTATTGTAATTGTGAAAAATTATGGGTATCAGATTTAAATGGAAATAATTTAATTTTGGACAAAGAATGAAATCTGAATTTTAATGCACTCTCCCACTTGGTTTCATATTTGTTATGAAAAAGTAACATAAAAAGATCAACTTCTGTACAACAAAAGTTGATCTGGATATTATGTCAAAATCTATGATTTTTAATATTTTCAACTTGTGCAACAGTATGTGCCTTGAGGAACTGGTTAATTAAGTTAGAATAACTTTAGGAAATAAGTAGATGAAGTGCAGCAAAAAATCTGTGTAATTTAATAGGATATACAAGGAAGTCGTGTAGTGTCTACAACAGATTTTTTTCAACAGTCTCCATCTATTTTAATTATGCACTTGTTGCAAATATGGTACTTATAAATTTGCAGACATAAAGATTTGGACTGAGCTTATGTGCATGACTTAATATTCAAGATAAAATGATAGAATGAATAGAATGAGGCTTTGTCACTGTATGCTTGTACGTTAGTCATGTGACTAGGGTAACGTTTCTCACTTTGGAAGAGTCAGTATATTTAATTTGCTCATTGATAAGTGGTGGTAATTCAGTATCCTGAAATTTAAAGGTTAAATCAACATACTGGAATCAGCTGAAATAAATGCCAGTATAAAATTTAATATTTACTGTTAGCATTTGAATTACAAAGTCTAACAAACAGAAATTTCTTGCAAGTAGCAACTTTTAGACTTAGGCACAAAATGCATTTGAATTTTTTCCTTTGTGTTATTGGCCTATTTTCAAATTTTGCTTACATATGCTGACCCAGAAGAAGAGAAAGAAAATTCAAGATAAATTAAAATTTAAAGTTTTAAAGATGACTATAATTACATTTTTACAATTTAAAATACAATTTTAAAAAATTGAAATTTTTTAGATATAATCCTTAAAAATGTGATCATAGGCAAAAATGCCTGTCCCTTTCAAGTTTTATGTTATTCAACCTCTTTGTTTTATAACCTAATTTATTTTTTAAATAAAGAAGTTTAATTATTTTAAATATGGTACATATTCAGCGACACAGATAAAAGAACCAAGCAACCATTACTACCATTTCATTCCCTTCAAATGAGAAGCATTATAGCAGTGGCAATAATCAGCTTTCTTCAAATTAGTGTTTTTTTTTTTCCTTTGTCAAGTCTGTTACTATAATTTTTAATATTAAAATAGTACTTTTTCCACTTTTAGATTTAAATATTGTTTATTAGATACTTTTAGAATATATTTGTATTATTATTTAAATTACACATTATGCAAGCATTTTTTAAATATTTTGATTTGAATGTCAAATCCATTACTTGCCAAGTCTGTTGCCAATTGTGATTCTACTATTACTGCTCTACTACTCTATATTCTACCTACTGGACTAATCGAGATTTCTGTATGTTACTTTCAAACAGCAGCTAGCTAGGAAAGTCGCATTATAACATTGTACAGTTTGATGTTGCAATGATCCCACAATTCCGACTTTTGAATGGTTAGGAAAGGACAGGGCTAGAGCTACTTGTTTTGCCACCCAATGCAATTTCTTCGAGTCAAAAATTCTGCTGCCTGCTACTTCTCTAAAAATTTTACGGCCACTAAATTCTACTATTCAGTGCCTATTCTAATAGTTGGCAATAAAAACCGGTTGATCTTTACATTATGGTAACTTGGCGATTTTTTGGCGAAAATTTGGCAACCAACTCTCCTACAGCAAACCTCTATTTTTTTTCCCCGCCGCCATTTTGTCTTCACGAAGTAAAGACATGTTTTGTTTCTTTTATCTACTGACACTTCTTTCAACAATCTACTAGCCAAAATTACACTTATGCTAGAAATTTTATCAAACAAAACTGCTTAATCATGACAAATATTCACTGCAAAATTGGGAAAAAGTGCACAATACCAACTCTTACGCGTTTTTCAAAATAACACATACACATAAACCAGACACGCCGACTTATTTTTACTTAAAAAAACATCCCAGAATTGCACAAAAATGGCATTGCGCCACACTCTTTCACTATATCCATGTACACTGCTTTTTCTCATAAATTAGAAAAATTTCACAAAATACATGACAATTTTCTCAATCTTTAAACCCGGTAAAAAGAACATATATGAAATTACCTGATCGCGAAAAAGTATTTACCCTTTACAAATATGGAACATTTCCACATATAAAATAAATAAAATATCCAAAAACTTTTACTCTAAATCATCTATTATATTATAAACGTCACCAACGAATTCATACCGCAAGCATTACAAATACTTAGTGTCAAATATTTAAATTATTTCCATGCATGTTTACTTCAACTAAACATATACCAAATTCCTACAAACATAAAATTCACAAAATAACTATCATTTAATTAAAATATCACTAAACCATGTACACGTCGACTTATTTTTACTTAAAAAAACATCCCAGACTTGCACAAAAATAGCATTGCGCACACTCTTCACTATATCCATGTACACTGCTTTTTTCGGTTGATCTTTACATTACGGTAACTGGTAGTTTGGCGACATTTGGAGGCCATAAAGGTTACTACCTGGGACTTTTGGTAATATGTGAGCAGTACTGAGTTCCGATTACGCATTATTTTGTGTGGGAAATGAGAGATCATGGGATATGTCATGTGATATTAATGGACGAATTACGGTTCTTTAATCGGAAAAGGGGGGAAATCGGGAAAAAATCAGGAAATTTTGTATTTGGCTTTATTCTGTGTTGTGTGAAATAGTGTTTGTGAATTTTTGGATCCCATGCCGTAAGTAAAGTGAATTCGAAATGGGTATTTAGTGTATTGAAAAGGTAGTAGAAATGTTTTTAAGGTTGTGTGAGAGAGAAATAAACATGTTTTATTATGTTATTTTATTTTACCTGGTATCTTGCTTTGAAAGATAAGTATGATTTTAAAGATTCTGAAAGAGAATGAAGAAAAGTGTATCCGCCACGTAATGAAGATTCTGAGGAGATTAGGTAAGTTAGTATTTTTAATTATTTTTATGCATTGTTGGAAATGTAAGGTGGAAAGGAATTTGGTATTATTGGGAAATGTTATTAGCAATGATTTAGTTTAAAGTAATTAGGATTGTAAAGTAATTTTTATTAATTGAATGTATGTGCTCATGTATATTTTAAGTGGTGTTTTTGAATTTAATTATATTTTAATGAAATGATAGTTATTTTGTGAATTTTATACTTGTAGGAATTTGTGTATATTTAAGTTGAAATAAATATGCATGGAAATAATTTAATATTTGATAATAAATATTTGTAATGCTTCATTATGAATTCGTTGGTGACGTGTATAATGTAATAGATGATTTAGAGGTAAAAGTTTTTGGATATTTTATTTATTATATGTGGAAATGTTCATATTTGTAAAGGGGGGTAAAATACTTTTTCGCGATCATGTAATTTCATATATGTTCTTTTTACCGGTTTAAAGATTGAGAAATTGCATGTATTTTTCGTGAAATTTTTCGAATTTATAGAAAAAAAGCAGTGTACATGGATATAGTGAAGAGTGTGCGCAATGCCATTTTTGTGCAATTCTGGGATGTTTTTTAAGTAAAAATTAAGTCGGCAGGTTACATGGTTTATGTGTATGTGTTATTTGAAAAATGCGTAAGGTGTATGTATTGTGCACTTTTTCCGAATTTTGCAGTGAATATTTGTCATGATTAAGCCGTTTTGTTGATAAATTTCTAGCATAAGTGTAATTAGGCTAGTAGATTGTTGGAAGAAGTGTTCAGTAGATAAGAAGAAAAGAAACAGTCTTTACTTCGTGAAGACAAAATGGCGGCGGGGAAAAAAAAATAGAGGTTGCTGTAGGGAAGTTGGTCACCAAATTTCGCCAAAAAATCGCCAAGTTACCGTAATGTAAAGATCAACCCTTTTTTCTCATAAATTAGAAAATTTCACGAAAATACACAACATTTCTCATCTTTAACCCCGTAAAAGAACATATATGAAATTCCTGATCGCGAAAAAGTATTTACCCTTTCAAATATGAACATTTCCACATATAAAATAAATAAAATATCCAAAACTTTTACCTCTAAATCATCTATTACATTATACACGTCACCAACGAATCATACCGCAAGCTTACAAATATTAGTATCAAATATTTAAATTATTTCCTGCACGTTTATTTCAACTTAAACGTATACCAAATTCCTACAACATAAAATTCACAAATAACTATCATTTCATTAAAATATAATTAAATTCAAAAAACACTACTTAAATATAAAGAGCACATACATTAAATTAATAAAATTACCTTACAATCCTAATTACTTTAAACTAAATCACTGCTAATAACAATTTTCCCAATAATACCAAATTCCTTCCACCTTACATTTAGAACAATGCATAAAAATTATCCTCAAATAATTAAAAATACTAACTTAACCTAATCTTCTTCAGAATCTTGATTACGTGGCAGATACACTTTTCTAATTCATTCAATAAAATTATTGAAAGATTTTTCTGCGAATTTTCCTCCATACTTCCTTTGCTAATAAAAAGCAAACTTCTCTTTATCACAAATGCCTAAATACCCATTTCGAATTCACTTTAGTTAGGGCCATGAGATCCAAATAAACAACACTTTTCACACAACACAGAATAAAGCTAAATACAAAATTTCCACATTTTTCCCAATTTCCCCCTTTTTCCGATTAAAGAGCCGTAATTCGTCCATTAATATCACATGACATATCCCATGATCTCTCATTTCCCTCACGCAAAATAATGCGTAATCGGAACTGAGTACTGCTCACATTATTACCAAAGTCCCAGGTAGTAACCTTTATCGCCTCCAAAATATCGCCAAACTACCAGTTACCATATTGTAAAGATCAACCTAAAAACCTAAAAAAATGTTCATAAGATGAAGAAACAAACTACATTTACATGTCAAATGTAAACTATACATACATGTGCAAAACAGTAATTTAGTTTCTCACCAATGATGCTAAACTAGTAATTACATTAATAATGTTTACTTGTCCATAATAATACTTTATGCTGCACAAATCTTCTGACATTCTTATAAACTAACCATTTCTATTGGAGGTACTTAGTTTTCTCCTATACCATTCAAAGACACTTCTCATAACTTAATTTTTAAAAATATCTTAAATTACTCACACTGGATTCTTAAATGCTACAGCAACATAATGTTATCATGAAGAGGAAGACATTATTTTTTATATGATATCTACATTAATAAACTGCAAAAAAATTTCATTTCATGAAAAAAAAAAAAAAAATTCTAACTGGTTGTATAATCTGAAAAATTACTCAAATACATTTTCATGTTTTTGATTTGTTTTACTTAATTAACGAAGATTTTTTATTAATGATGATGTAAGCAATAAAGATGCATGAACTGAAGAAAAATTTTACATAAGCTGATGTGCATATTAACATTATAAGAATTTGGAATGTAAAAAAACTGAATTCAAGAATAAATAAAAGCCTTGTTAAAGGGCTTTATTATCAAATAACATTAATAATAAATAAAAGATTGCCAAATTTAACATTTTATTATCATTTGGTGGTTTTTGATCAGGTAGCCCATACTCCTAAAACAGACCCATGTATGAAATGAACCGGAGAAGAGAACACAAAAAAATATTTCTTCGTAAGTCCACTGAAAGTGAATTTTAATGAAGAAATGAAATAAAATTGGTGGTACTTCTTCATTAGAGCAGATACTATGCTTAATCACCATAATTTTAGCTAAAAGATATACAACTAAATATTACATATTTAAGTTATTTGCATTTTATTACAAAATCTGTATTTTAAATGTCTGAAATGTTCTGAATGCACTTTTGGGCAGCAAGAGGTTTTTAGAATAGATAACCAACAATACAGATAAAAAAAATTTGAAATCAGCTTATAATATTTAGTAAATGTTTTTTGCAAATGAAGTTCAAAAACACTAGTGCCTGAAAATAAACGTGAGCCACTGCATATATGCGTGCTTCGATAATATCACAACATAAAAAGCAAATTAAAACACTAATACTACAATACTTTGGGAAGTGTACTGATTATAGTGAAAAGATACCGATAAGAAATTTTGGAATCACTTCTGCTTTGGGGAAGAAAACTCGAAAATTTATTGTCAACTGACTAATAAATAGTAGTTTTAGAGAACGAAAACACTGTTCTGTTAAATTCTAAATATATTTTTTAAAAATTAATATACATGCGATATAAATTCAAGAATATTTCAAAAGATCATGCCTCAGCATCCGCTTGCCGACTTTCGGAGCACAGTAAATGAAAAGAAAATGTTTCTGCATTTGCTTTTAATTTGCAAAAATAGCGAAAATGAAAACGATATGAAACCACATACCTAACATATGATTGCAAATACATACCTAACATTCACAGTATGCGAATACATTTCACCCAACGTTAATGACGAAAAACTCGGTTCTTCTGTTAAATGTTTACATTAATAAAATCTAGCATACATCCTTAAAGTAGCCAAATTGACTCCAACAAGTCTATTCTCCGAACATTACCAAATAAATTATGATAACTACTTCGAAAAAATTAATGTAAAGTCAAGGCCACCTTGGTAAAGTCAGAGATGATCAAAACAGATGCTCCCAATGTGATTGCTTCAGCAGGTTTTTCTGCCCGTAGCGAAAGCTGGCGAAAGATTTCTAAAATAATTCTATGTCTCTAGAACGATCAACTTGTAAAACTAAGTTCTTATTCCCTTCCAAGTTTTTTGTCCCATTTTGTTATTCAGCAAAGGAAAATAAATATATAGAGAGCTTTCATTACAGTTCGGCACATTTTCGGTAAATATGCAACCATTAATGAAGCAACGATAACACTCTAGCTACACATTTCATTCTAAGGATATATATTTTAATAATGATATTAATCGCTTTAGCGAATTCTTTGATGCAACAGTTACGAGTTATTTTAGAATAAAATATGATACAGACTTTGTAAAGTTTTGTCAGTATTATTATCTGGCAATCTAGTCGTTTTGAGCATGAATGTTTTGTTTATGGAGTTTCGTCACTAAAACATTTCTGTCTATCGAACTTGTATCTAAGTGCTCTTCAAGCAGCTTTAGTGCTGGTTTTATACTCGCTGTTGGAAAGATATTTTTGTGAAACAAATCTTGTAACTTGACTGAACTTTACTAATTGTGGTAATGCTTCATGTTTTTTGTAATCTGCTTTAACATTAGATGAAAGGTGTAAAATGAGTGCATCTGTATCACTGACTAGTAATTTCGAATGCCCCAGTGGATTTTGTAAAGAAAATATTACAGCGCAGTTGTATCATGAAGATATAGACGATGACTGTGAATTGTGGCTGGTTCGAATGCCATGTGACTTCGATCCATCTCTCGTGGAAAATAAAAGTATTGCGCTTGATGGAAGTAGTAAATGCATAGTGTCTGATGCCCGCTGTGAAAAAGCCTACGAATGTTACTCTGAAAATTATGAGATGCCAAACTTGTGTTTAGTGTTACCTCATAAGAGTACTAGAGAGTTGAGTCCCGTAAGAAAAATTTTCAAGGGATCTTTATGTGTTTTAGATGGAGTGCCAGATGATATTATATCTGAAGATAAGGAAATGGAAAATGCTGAGAATACATTGCGTAATAATTCTGTTACAGTTCTACAAGATGATTCTGCTGAAATATTTGACCAGATGAATTCGGATACTGAAGAACCTTCAATATCGCAAGGAAAAGTGAAGCATAAACATTCTAAAAAAAATCGACATGAAAAGTCATTGGACCTTAATAGTATTAAAAGTGAACCAGACGATTTTCCTGTTTGCAACTCCCAACATCTGTAAAGTATGAAATAAATTTTTTGTTCCAGTCCTATTAATTACACTTATTAATGAAAGTATTAAACATTGTTAACTGGAAATAAAAGTGTTGATTTTTCACATTATTAGTTTAATTTTAGTTCTGTATTATTTTTTTTTCTATAATCAGTTTAACTTAATACATATCTTAAAAGTAAAATTATGGATTGAGTGATAAGATATGAAACTTGATGTCTATCTATAAATGTTCTGTTAGTTGTATATAGTCGGTAACTTTCTTCATAGTGCTTATTTTACGATAATTCTAAATGGGAATGGACACTTTGAGTACTTCTTTATTAAAGCATCACCACATAAGTCTTTGGTGACATTTAAAATTAGAACATTACATATTGTGTGATAAAGTTTGCCGACTAAGCAAAGTGACCATTTTAACATATAAGTTAACAAGTTTTATTTATAATTATTGCAGATTTATGTATTTTCACTTTGGAACTTTATTTGTCATAGATCTAAGAACAGATTGCTATTTAACGTCGCGGCGCGCAATGAACTGGAAGTTGATCCTTATCTTCATTATCTTCAGAGCAGATGTTTTTATTTTATTTGTCTTATAATTCGTTACTAAATATAGTATTTCATTTCGATGTACTCCGTCTTTGATATGATTTAAATCAAATTCCTCATCATTATAAATATCATGAATACAAATCAAATAGTTTTCTGGTTGCAATTTTCTAATTTCGACTATGCGTAATGTATGATTTACACATGCGCGTGTTGAAAGAAATGTTTAATAAAGTAAACAAATAAATATTAAGCTTTTTTTTTGTAAATTTTGATACCCTTTAGATCATAATTGCTCTTTATTTCATAAATTACGGTTTCATATTTTTAATTTTATAATTTTTGCATGCCATCTTACTAGATTTAAACTGATGATCTATAATCCGGAAAAATCGATAATCCAGAATCGCCGAGTCTGGATTAAAGACTTTTGACTGTATATTGTTTTCTCTGCTAACTTGAATTTATTAAACTCATTTTGGTTAGTCTATAATTTAGGGTGCCTCTTGGATTATTGCCAAATTGCTGTTTCATTTATGGTAATCTGAGTAGTTTAAAGTTATGGAAACTGTATTAAGATGTGATTGGTTGCGTGGATTGTGGTGAGTTTGACTGATGGGGAAAATATTTGTAAGGGCTTATTTCTGTGTTGGATGTCAGTTAGGAAGTACATTGCTTATTTTGTGCTGTACACCATAAAGTGGCTGTATATGATGATATTAATTTGAAGTTTCTGTACGATTTGGAACGAAGGGGGGAAAACATTAAGTGACAGGTGTGTAATGAAAGTTTACTTAGTAGTCATTATAAGTGTCCTGCTTGTACGAAGGAAATGCGTATGGTAAAGATCATTCATATGGGTTTGTCGCAAGAAAGGTTCGTGCAAGAAATGCCACCAGCACTACGGAGAATATTTTTTACTCTTATTTTTGTTAATTTATGTTGTGACGGCAATATGCATATTATAGTTCAGATAATAGAAAGTTTTTGGATGCTGTTGAAGAATTTTGTATACCACAGGCTGAAGACACAGAAATTTCTAAATATGCCAAGTCAATAACCTCTTCGGCTGATCTTTGGAATATGGTAACTGGTAGTTTGGCGACATTTTGGAGGCGATAAAGGTTACTACCTATGACTTTGGTAATAATGTGAGAAGTACTCAGTTCCAATTACGCATTATTTTGTGTGAGGGAAATGAGAGATCATGAGATATGTCATGTGACATTAATGGACGAATTACAGTTCTTTAATCGGAAAAGGGGGGAAATCTGGGAAAAATCTGGAAATTTTGTATTTAGCTTATTCTGTGTGTGTGAAACAGTGTTCGTTAATTTTTGGATCCCATGGCCCTAACTAAAGTGAATTCGAAATGGGTATTTAGTGGGATTGAAAGGGGTAGAAAAAAGTGTTTTTTTAAGGTTGTGCGAGATAGAAGTAAAGATGTTTTATTAAGTTATTTATTTTATCTGGTACCTTGCTGTGAACTATAAGTATGATTTTAAAGATCTTGAAACAGGCGCACATACGCTTGCTTTTTATTTAGCGGAGAAAATAAGAAAAGTTTATCAGCCACGTAATCAAGATTCTGAAGAAGATTAGATAAGTTAGTATTTTTAATTATTTGAGGATATTATTTTTATGCATTGTTCTAAATGTAAGGAGTAAATAAAGTAATGGTATTATTGGAAAATTGTTATTAACAATGATTTAGTTTAAAGTAATTAGGATTGTAAGCTAATTTTATTAATTAATGTATGTGCTTATTTATATTTAAGTGCGTTTTTGAATTTAATTATATTTTAATTAAATGATATTATTTTGGAATATGTTGTAGGAATTTGGTATACGTTTCAGTGGAAGTAAACGTGCATGGAAATAATTTAAATATTGACACTAAGTATTTGTAACCATTTGTAATGTTTGAGGTATGAATTTTGGTGACGTTTATAAATAATAGATAATTTTTAGAGGTATTTTTTGGATATTTTTGGATATTTTTGGATTTTAAGTTTTGGATATTTTATTTAGGTTGATCTTTACGATATGGTAACTGGTAGTTTGGCGACATTTTCGAGGCGATAAAGGTTACTACTGGGACTTTGGTAATAATGTGAGCAGTACTCAGTTCCGATACGCATTATTGTGTGAGGGAAAGGAGGATCATGGGATATGTCATGTGATATTAATGGACGAATTACGGTTCTTTAATCGGAAAAGGGGGGAAATCGGGAAAAAAATCTGGAAATTTGTATTTGGCTTTTCTGTGTGTTGTGAAACAGTGTTCGTGAATTTTGGATCCCATGACCGTAACTAAAGTGAATCGAAATGGGGATTTATGTATGTCTTATTTAATGTATGTGCTCATTTATATTTAAGTAGTGTTTTTGAATTTAATTATATTTAATTAAATGATAGTTATTTGTGAATTTTATGTTTGTAGGAATTTGGTATACGTTTTCGTTGAAGTAAACGTGCATGGAAATAATTTAATATCTGACATAAGTTTGTAATGGTTGCGGTATGAATTCGTTGGTGACGTGTATAATGTAATAGATGATTAGAGGTAAAAAGTTTTGGATATTTATTTATTTTATATGTGGAAATGTTATATTTGGAAAGTGAAAACTTTTTCGCAATCAGGTAATTTCATATATGTTCTTTTTACGGGTTAAAGATTGAGAAAATGTCATGTATTTCGTGAAATTTTTCTAATTTATGAGAAAAAAAGCAGTGTACATGGATATAGTGGAGTGTGCGCATGCCATTTTTGTGCAATTCTGGGATGTTTTTTTAAGTAAAATAAGTCGGCGTGCACATGGTTTATGTGTATGGTTATTTGAAAAACAAGTAAGGGAATGGGATTGTGCACTTTTCCCAATTTGCAGTAAATATTTGTCATGATTAAGCAGTTTTTAGATAAAATTCTAGCATAAGTGTAATTCGGCTAGTAGATTTGGAAGAAGTGTTCAGTAGATAAAAGAAAAGAAACATGTCTTACTTCGTGAAGACAAAATGGCGGCGGGAAAAAAAAAATAGAGGGTTACTGTAGGAGAATGGTCGCCAAAATTTTCGCAAAAAAAACGCCGGAGTTACCTAATGTAAAGATCAACCTTTATTTATTATAATGTGGAAATGTTCATCTTTGAAAAGGGTGTATACTTTTTCGCGATCAGGTAATCATGTATGTTCTTTTTACCGGATTTAAGATTCACAAAATTTCATGCATTTCG